ATATATATATATATATATATATATTGATATTGTATTTGACTTTCTTGTTTTCTTGATCATTAAAGTTTTTCTTTTTCTTCTTCCTTTTTTGAATTTTGTTTGTTATGCACATATAATTTCATGCTTAATACATACCTACATTTTGCTTATTTTTCTTACATTAAACATTAATTAATTGTTCAACATATATATATATATATATAGAGAGAGATAGATTGTAAAAAAAGAATGTGAATGATATGAAGGGTTATTATTTTATATGCATGGATATAGATTTTACAAATTCTAATAGCAGTTTACATACCTATATATAATTATCACGTATTCATTTAATAATATAATATTGACTGCTTTATTATAATTAAACTGTCTTAGTGTATAAGATAATCTTTATATATGTCGATAGTATATGATATTCCTAAAAAACAAAATACTTGGACCGTTGAAATATTTTAGATGCATACCTCTAGGAAAAAGTCATTGCATGGAAATGGTTGCCTAGCATGGAGGTGATCATCTATCTATGTTCAAGGATGATTATTACATCTGGCAGGATAATTCTTATATCAAGAATTCTATCATTAGTCACACATAAACATGCAATTAATTAACAGTCACCCTACATTTGCATGTCAATAATTTATATTTACAGGATATGGGAGTGCCAAGACTATTAGAATGCAAGAGAAAATATCAAAGTTCAAAATTAATCCTTCAACTTCTTAATTAATTAATTAATCATCTTGCAAGATTTTAAGTGCAATAATTTTTCTACCTTGTATTTGGTTTTAAGGTAAAGCTCTTTAATGCAAATATATGTATTTAAATACATTTAAATTAGATAAAAAAATGCAACATGATTGATTGATGATAGACCCTGTTGAATAGCTTAAGTATATACAAGATTTTAAATATTTTAATTTCATCCGCTATGATCAAACAGTTGAACTTGACCAAACAAGCTTTGATTAAAATATATTTACAAAGAGAAAATTATAATAATTTAGAGTTAATCTAAAATTTATTATCTTTTTGTAAAAAATATATAAAGTTGAAGTTGAATTTGAATTCTCTCTTTTTTCTATAGATTTCCTCGTGTTTATATTAAAAATTAAAAAATAAACATAAAATTGTAAATATGATAAAAAAAAAGGTACTTAACTATGTCGATTCTTTGTATATATATTCTATTACAAATAAATCTAAAAACAGATGAAGTTAAATCAAAATCGTGAGCTCCTAAAGTGAAGTATATTGAAAATGGCTCAAATTTCAATTAATTTGCTACAATCAATGATACTTGAACTGGATTTTAGACTTAACTCTACATCGATATATACAAAATTCATCTTTCAAAAAAAAAAACAATAATGCCCAAACTCTCCATTCAAGAAGAAGTGGATCAACCCGGAGCATGCAATGAGTTAAATCCTAGTAAATAACTCATAATTTCACTCCCAACCCTAACCATGATGAGTTGAGGCACGATCTCTAACTTAGCAAGACAAGAAAAAAAGAACTAAAAAAAGGTAAAATAAATAAAGTGGCATGATCTCTGGCTAGCTAGCCTCCAACATCAAATTTCGTGGAAGTAAATGATGATGAGATATCATCAGAAAGATTTTATATATACTTTAAACAGTGACTAGTAGCTATGCTGAACCCTTGAGTGAACAGGGCTGCATCATATATACTTTTGTAGAGCATAGGGTACTGCTGAAGAATCTAACAAGTGCCATTTGAAGCATAGGCAGCTGGCCTGTTTTCGGGGGGAATCAAGCAGCTTTTTCTCATGCTAGCTGATAAAGGAGGCTGTTGCGGTCAACCAAAATTAAGACAAAGTTTAAGTAGAATCGAAGCTGAAGTGCTGTGAAAATTGAAGACAAGCCGCTGATGAACATGTACTATAAAACAACTGTTACACGACGTTCTAGTTCGAAAACAGGAGCCTGGTGCCCTGGTATCCTGAGTCTGATCAGTCTGACTAAAAGAGTAGGCAGCCAGGATTAGTATGCAACTTGAAGTTACTAATATATCCCAATTTAGTCATTCCTGTTGGTATTTAAAGGTAGGGCGTTGTAACTTCCCCTCGGTGTTAGAAATTAGTCATTGTTCATTTTGTTTAGGTGATTATCTTGTTTTTAATTTATGTTTAGGTGTTTAATTTTATTTTGGATCTTTTATAATTGCAATATGAAATAATCGGACAATTAACTTTTTTAAAAAAGAAAACATTATAAAAAATTAGATAACGATACATAAAGTGTTGATCTCAAGTCTGCTGTTATGAACAAACCGTTTTCAAACTGAGTACGATATTAAAACAAATAGAATTATCTTTTAAGTAGTTTGATTTTTGTATATATCACGTGCCATATTTTAATAAAATATTTGGTTAATAAGACTATGTGATACATTGTCCAAAACCCACACGCAAATGTATGTGAAATGTGGGATAAATGAAATGAATATGGTTTGAGAGTGGGAAAGAGGGAGCAACAACAGGGAATGGATAGATGGTGGCCAAAGAAAGTGGATTTGTGGGGGCTTATAGATTTTTTTTTTGTTTTTTTATATAGCTACTAGTGTATTTATCTTTTCGTACGTACACATATAACTTTGTTTTTGTGTGAATATATAGTACATTTATTTTATCAAATATTTTATAAGAATAGTAGAGAAAAGATCAAGACTAAATATTGCAGCCTCTCTCCGTTACTTTAAGTCAAGATATTTGCCAGACTGTGCGGGACTATTTATGCATACGCTACTGCACACTTGCCAAGCAATGGCTCCTTTGACTTATGTTTGCAACCAATTAAATCCTTCAACAAGGGGGAGCCCCTTTTCAGCTCACAAATCATCGAGCAGTGAGGACAATTGGGTATTGATCGTGGAGTCCAAACCTGTAAGCCCAACCTATTTGAGGGCAGGCCTTTCTTGAAAGAGGCTGCAGGTTTGGCATGCCTGGCTGCGAGGCTGTGCAGGGGTAACAGCTTGGGCATGAATTGGGTCCTTTCATTGTCCTTTCCAAGGGGAATGAAGCTTCCAGCTGTGGCCTTGCACTCGGGAGTAAACATCGCAAACAGAGTTGCCCCAACAATTTATGAGAGAACGAGAAAGTAGGCCTACGTTTGAGAATGTCAATGTCAAGGGTGGATGAAGAAATAAACTATTGGCAAAACGAAATGCATTATTGTTAGGTACCTTATTCTATGATGGTAATGCAAACTACCAGATAATCATCAACACATCATCATAATTTTATATATTTATTTATTTATATCATTTTCATTGTACAATTCAACCATAAGATATGATGGATGGATTTAGAATGAAGATTCTAAGTTAGAATCTGATTTTTGAAA